TCAGAAGGCTGACCTAGAACAGAGGCTAGACAGAGTTAAGAATAAAGTTTATTAAAAGGCCTTAAAGGATACACCTTACAAGAGCCTGCCCAGGGCTACACCCAAAATGGACCAAAAATGGTCAAAAAAAACCAAAAACAAACAACTCATCACGAGGTCTCACATTTTTGTAAGTTGAGGTCCATCTGCATATTTGGGTTCATGGTCCAATTACAGCTTCAGAGGATGAAGTCCTGTCCTTGTTTTCTCTCTTCAGTCCACCCTTGTTTATGCTTTTGAGCCTGCAACTTGTAATGATTGTCCTTGGTCTCAAGCTAGAAAAGGAATTGTTTTGTCTACCTACTCTGTGAAGAGAGCTCAGTAACAAAACAGGAAGTTTAAAACTACAAACCTAGACAGTGCAAAATATGAAAAATATGAAAGCTAAAACTTAAGGCATCACACCCGGAGGGGTTGTGGAATCCAATAGTTTTGAGTGGCACTGTGCAGTTTTCAGTGGCATTGAGTGGTTTTGAGGTGACAGATAAAACTCTCGTTGCTTTGAGTGCCAAAAAATGGAGAAAACTCCACCAAATAGCTCCACAACCCCCAAGTATTTCCCTGAATACCAGATTACCTTGAAGCACTAGTAAAATGTGAGGCTCTAGATGCCTTTGATGAATTTATAGACTTTTACCCCAATTTTGTCTGTTTTAAAGGGATAAAGATGAATCAAAAGATAATCGGAACAAAACAAAAGGACCACCAGCCCAGTGTGTTCCCAACACAGATCACTGGGAACGTGGGTCATCAGGGCTCTGCCCAACGTGGGTCCTCCCATGGGGGATGGAGCTGGAGCAGCATATGAAGCTCTTCCTGCACTTGGGGCACTCGCAGGGCTTCCCTTAGTGGTGCCTCTGTTGGTGTCTGGTCAAGTTAGAGCTCTGGGTGAAGCTCTTCCCACACTGGGGACACTCATAGGGCCTCTCCCCGCTGTGGCTGCGCCGGTGGGAGATGAGGTGGGAGTTTCGCTTGAAGCCCTTCCCGCAGTCAGGGCAGCGGAAGGGCCTCTCCTCTGTGTGAATCCGCTGGTGCACGAGGAGACTGGAGCTGATGCGAAACCTCTTCCCACACTGGAGACATTCATAGGGCCTCTCCCCAGTGTGGATCATCTGGTGAATGGTCAGTTGGGACCTCTGGCTGAAGGTCATCCCACATTCCCCACACTCATAGGGCCGTTCCCCAGTGTGGGTCCTCTGGTGGATGGTCAGGTAGGAGCTGTTTCTGAAGCTCTTCCCACACTGGGGACACTCATAGGGCCTCTCCCCAGTGTGGATGCGCTGGTGCCTGACAAGGGTGGAATTGTGCTTGAAGCCCTCCCCACAGTCAGGGCAGCGGAAGGGCTTCTCATCTGTGTGAATCCGCTGGTGCACGAGGAGATGAGAGCTCCTCTGAAACCTCTTCCCACACTCAGGACACTCGTAGGGCCTCTCCCCAGTGTGGATGTGCTGGTGACGGATGAATTCGGAGTTGCAGCTGAAGCCCTTCCCACATTTCCCACACTTGTAGGGCCATTCCCCAGTGTGGATCATCTGGTGGCGGATCAGTTTGCTGCTCCGGCTGAAGCTCTTCCCACACTCCAAGCACTTGTAGCGCTTCTGCCCTTTGTGAAGCTGCTCATGGACCACCAGCTCAGAGCCCCGGCTGGATCTCCGGCCGCCTTCCCGGCACAGGGTGGGTCTTTCCTCCTCAGAGCACCCTGGGATGGGTTTGGAGCCCCTCCTGCGGGATCTCTGGGGCTTTTCCTCCCCATTGGATTCCTGCGCTGTGGAGCTGCTCAAATCAGCCTCTTCCACGAGGTTCTGCCATGGGGATTTGTCCTCCCTGGTCTCCATCCTCAGCTCCTTGACTGGGGGAGGAAGGACAAGGAGAGGATGGGATTTGCCTCCGTGCCAGATGGAAGGGGAAGGAGATCCCCCCCAGTGCATCCCCGGCAGGACGGTGTCGGCAGCGGGGTTGTCCTGCAGCTGGGGGCCATGCTGAGCTGGGAGATGGAGCAGGAGAGAGGGAAAGGGGCACTGACTTCCTCCTCACGTGCTTGGGTGTTCTGGGGCATCTTCCTCTTCCTCACAGCCTCCTTCTCCATCCAGACAAGGTCTGGGAATGGGAAATCCTGGTATGGGTAAAACAGGGGAAGAGTACATTGACTTTGAATGTCTCTCGGTCCAAGACCATCTCTAGAAGTCACCGGTCATCTG